CCCTCAAGTGAAATTTGAATTTTTTTTATTGATTTTGGTAGATATTCGTTAGATCAGGTTTGATCAACTGTTTTTTTCGTTAGATCTATCACGCAAGAGGCGGTATTCACTACTTAACTTTGTGGGCGTGACTACGGGTTAGCCCCCCCTCAAGTGAAATTTGAATTTTTTTAACTTGATTTTGGTAGATATTCATTAGGTCAGGTTTGATCAACTGTTTTTTTCGTTAGATCTATCACGCAAGAGGCGGTATTCACTACTTAACTTTGTGGGCGTGACTACGGGTTAGCCCCCCCTCAAGTGAAATTTGAATATTTTTTTTTTATTGATTTTGGTAGATATTCGTTAGGTCAGGTTTGATCAACTGTTTTTTTCGTTAGATCTCTCACGCAAGAGGCGGTATTCACTACCTAACTTTGTGGGCGTGACTACGGGTTAGCCCCCCCTCAAGTGAAATTTGAATTTTTTTTCATTGATTTTGGTAGCTATTTGTTAGATTAAGTAAGATCAACTGTTTTTTTCCGTAAAATCTATCACGCAAAAGGCGGTATTCACAATCTTATTTTAATTTTGCACATAAATACCAGTAAATTTTCATATCAAGCCACAGGTGACATCATATTTTAGGAATTTGCTTGGATTTGCTAACACAATGTGTAGATCATTTTCAATATTTGTTTTAATTCTCTACATGCACAGTATTGAGGTGATAAAGTCCTGCATATGCCCAGCCTGAACTTATTAGTGATATTTGAATACATTTGCAAGAAAAAGTATGTGAGCCCTTTGGAATGATATGGATTTCTGCACAAATTGGTCATAAAATGTGATCTGATCATCATCTAAGTCACAACAATAGACAATCACAGTCTGCTTAAACTAATAACACACAAAGAATGAAATGTTGCCATGTTTTTATTGAACACACCATGTAAACATTCACAGTGCAGGTGGAAAAAGTATGTGAACCCTTGGATTTAATAACTGGTTGAACCTCCTTTGGCAGCAATAACTTCAACCAAACGTTTCCTGTAGTTGCAGATCAGACGTGCACAAGGTCAGGAGTAATTCTTGACCATTCCTCTTTACAGAACTGTTTCAGTTCAGCAATATTCTTGGGATGTCTGATGTGAATTGCTTTCTTGAGGTCATGCCACAGCATCTCAATCGGGTTGAGGTCAGGACTCTGACTGGGCCACTTCAGAAGGTGTATTTTCTTCTGTTTAAGCCATTCTGTTGTTGATTTACTTCTATGCTTTGGGTCATTGTCCTATTGCAACACTCATCTTCTGTTGAGCTTCATCTGGTAGACAGATGGCCTTAAGTTCTCCTGCAAAATGTCTTGGGAATTTGGGAATTCATTTTTCCTTCGATGATAGCAATCTATCCAGGCCCTGACGCAGCAAAGCAGCCCCAAACCATGATGCCCCCACCACCATACTTCACAGTTGGGATGAGGTTTTGATGTTGGTGTGCTGTGCCTTTTTTTCGCCACACATAGTGTTGTGTGTTTCTTCCAAACAACTCAACTTTGGTTTCATCTGTCCACAGAATATTTTGCCAGTACTGCTGTGGAACATCCAGGTGCTCTTGTGCAAACTGTAAACGTGCAGCAATGTTTTGTTTGGACAGCAGTGGCTTCCTCTGTGGTATCCTCCCATGAAATCCATTCTTGTTTAGTGTTTTACGTATTGTAGATTCGCTAACAGGGATGTTAGCATTTGCCAGTGACTTTTGTAAGTCTTTAGCTGACACTCTAGGATTCTTCTTCACCTCATTGAGCAGTCTGCGCTGTGCTCTTGCAGTCATCTTTACAGGACGGCCACTCCTAGGGAGAGTAGCAGCAGTGCTGAACTTTCTCCATTTATAGACAATTTGTCTTACCGTGGACTGATGAACAGCAAGGCTTTTGGAGATACTTTTATAACCCTTTCCAGCTTAATGCAAGTCAACAATTCTTAATCGTAGGTCTTCTGAGAGCTCTTTTGTGCGAGCATCATTCACATCAGACAATGCTTCTTGTGAAAAGCAAACCCAGAACTGGTGTGTGTTTTTTTATAGGTCAGGGCAGCTGTAACCAACACCTCCAATCTCATCTCATTGATTGGACTCCAGTTGGCTGACATCTCACTCCAATTAGCTCTTGGAGATGTCATTAGTCTAGGGGTTCACATACTTTTTCCACCTGCACTGTGAATGTTTACATGGTGTGTTCAATAAAAACATGACAACATTTCATTATTTGTGTGTTATTGGTTTAAGCAGACTGTGATTGTCTATTGTTGTGAGTTAGATGATGATCAGATCACATTTTATGACTAATTTGTGCAGAAATCCATATCATTCCAAAGGGCTCACATACTTTTTCTTGCAACTGTATTCAAATATCACTAATAAGTTCAGGCTGCGCATATGCTGGACTTTATCACCTCAATACTGTGCATGTAGAGAATAAAAAAAAAATATTAAAAATGATCTACACATTGTGTTAGAAAATCCAAGCAAATTCCTAAATTATGATGTCACCTGTGGCTTGATATGAAAATTTACTGGTATTTATGTGCAAAATTAAAATAAGATTGTGAATACCGCCTTTTGCGTGATAGATCTTACGGAAAAAAACAGTTGATCTTACTTAATCTAACAAATAGCTACCAAAATCATTGAAAAAAAAATCAAATTTCACTTGAGGGGGGGCTAACCCGTAGTCACGCCCACAAAGTTAAGTAGTGAATACCACCTCTTGCGTGATAGATCTAACGAAAAAAATAGTTGATCAAACCTGATCTAACGAATAGCTACCAAAATCAATAAAAAAAAATTCAAATTTCACTTGAGGGGGGGCTAACCCGTAGTCACGCCCACAAAGTTTAGTAGGGAATACCGCCTCTTGCGTGATAGATCTAACTAAAAAAATAGTTGATCAAACCTGATCTAACGAATAGCTACCAAAATCAATGAAAAAATATTAAAATTTCACTTGAGGGGGGGCTAACCCGTAGTCACGCCCACAAAGTTAAGTAGTGAATACCGCCTCTTGCGTGATAGATCTAACGAAAAAAACAGTTGATCAAACCTGACCTAATGAATATCTACCAAAATCAAGTTAAAAAAATTCAAATTTCACTTGAGGGGGGGCTAACCCGTAGTCACGCCCACAAAGTTAAGTAGGGAATACCACCTCTTGCGTGATAGATCTAACGAAAAAAACAGTTGATCAAACCTGATCTAACGAATAGCTACCAAAATCAGTAACATTTTGTCCAAATTTCAGTTGAGGGGGGGCTAGCCCCCCCTAATTATATATGCAATATCTCAGTAATTAGACTAGATCAAACAAAAATTTTGCCTGATCAAACCTGATCTAACGTAGAGCTATCATAATCAACAACATTTTCTCCAAATTTTTGTTGAGGGGGGGCTGGCTACGGGTTAGCCCCCCCTGACAATGATTGTTAATATCGCATATTTTAGAGTAGATCTAACGAAAAAAATTGTTGATCAAACCTGATCTAACAAAGATCTAACAAATGGAATAATCTTTTGTTAAAATATTCAATATGGGGGGGCTAACCCGGGGGTGGTTCCCAATTCCCTATGCATATTTAAATAACTGGATTTTTTAGTATTACACCAATGGCCATTGAAGTGTAAGTGCCACGTCAAGTCAAACCTCTTAGGTACGTCTTACACTAACAATTTCCCTTACTTACTTCAGCTTAAGGCAAATAAATCTCTGAGAGAGAGGGCATTTTTCTTGTGGTAGAGCTGCCTCCAACTTCCTCCTCCCATCAACCCTCCCTCGCGGCTCTCTATGAAGCTGGGAGGAAGTGATCGACTGTCACTTCCTCCCTGCCAGCCGAAATCACAGGGGCCCGGTCAGGCACTCAAAGGGGCGTGGCACCCGACCGGGCCTCTTATCAGTAATAAACAAATAATACTCATCGGGTGGCTGCAAATTATATACAATATCCTGGAAATCACACACACAATCTGATATTCATTGTGTGATTTGCAGGATACTGTATATGATTTGCGGGTGTCAGTGAGCTGCTAAGAAAATGCGGTTGTCTCCTGAAACTACCGGGAGACTTGGGATGTCTGAAAAGACCATATTTTATCTGCGCACACCAACATTTCTGATGAATAGGCCCACTGCAGAAAAAACTTGAACAGCTCTGCCCTCAAGTATTGCGCAAGCATGTTTAATGCAACATTCGTTGGGCACAAACTTGGGATGGCAGGACAGGACACTGAAATCAGTACTGTCCTGCTAAAATCGTGACTATTGGGAGACTTGCTCAAAGACAGTAAGCACACTGTGCACTACAGGATTTAGCTCATTGGCGCTAATGGAAATTACTTGCAGGGGCTTCCAACTCTAGAGGAAGCGGTGCACCCAAGGGACCCAGGTAAGCTGTTTGACTTACTGGGAGAGGGTTGCCAGGGCACTCCTGGCACCATGACCACTACAGAGGGGCGTTAAATGTTTCAATTCACTGATCACCTTTGCTGTGTTTTCTGTGTTGAATACAGGTAGTTTACCATTATTAGCCAGCATTGTAAATGATGTAAAATTTATTGATTGTAAAATAAATAAAAAATATGTTAAAGTTGCAATTCAAGTTTACAACGCACTACGCCACCCCTGAACATAAAAAGCCGAAATAGATTAGTTTCAAATAACGGCGGTGTTTTAAATACAAAAAAGTTTAACCCCTTAAGGACCAAACTTCTGGAATAAAAGGGAATCATGACATGTCACACATGTCATGTGTCCTTAAGGGGTTAAAAAAACCAAACAAACAACACAGTCACGCATGCGCGTTGCAGAACCAAGTCTAACATGGAACGACCCAGCCAACACGTTCCAGAGCGGCTTGGCTACTGCGCACGCGCGAAGCTGGGCGGCTCCCAGCGAGTCCCAGCATAGCACGCCGCCAGCGTGGGAGGAAAGAGTGCGTCGGCGCGGCGACGATGACGTCACGCGCGACGCGCAGCCTCAGTGAGGTTGTTGGGTGTCGCGGGAGAGAGTGAGAAGATGGCGGCTGCGGTGGAGAAGATGTGAGTTGTGAAGAGTATGGGGGGGGTAGTGGGTTCAAGGAGTGCCGCACTGGCTGCTGGAAGAGTGTCAGCCTATGGGCCGGTGTGAGGAAAGCCCTGATAGAAAGCAATGGGGGGGATAGTGATGGAGTGGGTAGTTTAACATGCTGCTGATGGGTAGGACAAGGAAGGGACAAGGTATGAAGTAGCCAAGAGGAGAGGCTGAGAGCAATGGGATGGGTCCACAAGGAGCCTATAGACCCTGTGTCAGGGGCATGTAGGCCTAACAGGCAGCCTTAAACTACTCAGTAGCATCTTATTGTGGTAGAGCTGGTCTAGGTCCACATATTTCCTATTCCAATATTTTAATATTTATTTCATGTTTATATGTTTAGTTTGTATTGCCTACATTCTGTTCCCTAACTCTATTTACTCTCCTATAAAAGGTATTTCTGCTTTTGTCTAGTCCTAGTAAAATAAGCTAAAATTGTAGTTACATTTTTATAAAAAAAATGTTTTTTTGTTTTTTTTAAAGGAACACTTCAAGTACCATAACTGCCACAGCTCGCTGTAATAGTGAGTTTAAATTAAACCGTTACTCCATGCACATTACGATTTTGGTGATTTGAAGCGTTCCTGGTGTCTGGAGGCTGCCTGTGCAGCGTGTAGCTATGAAACGTTGCATATCCTGAGATTAACATGTTGGCTGCCAGATATATAACAAATTTGTGGGCTGGCTTATATCAGTTATGTTCATGCACTGCACTCCTCAGTTATGCTATTGTTTTTCTTGTGGCGGAAGGGGTTCTGATCACAGAAAGCGTTACTGCAACTAACACCAGTGTTTTATGCAAACACTGATTTCCGGTTACAGCAGTAACCCTCCCGGCTCTGTTATCCCCGCCCCTCACAAAAAAGTCTTACATAAAGAGTAGTATTCATGAAATGTTCACATTGAATGTGTCTGCACTATCCCCTGGTAATATAAACCTTTTAGGTACTGTTTGACATACAGAAAATTTGTCGGCTTCAAAGGACTATCCACATCAACAACCTGCATTTCAGAGGGCAAGAGGCTCATCCTTTGAATTGCAAGATTCTGCCCTTTTAAACCAGGGAACTCTTGCCCAGCTGGATGGTTTGGGGATGGTGGTTATTGCAGTAGCAAATGGTCCCCACCACCCCCACAAATTTATCTTGAATATATGTATTTTCAGAATGCGTGTTTGCAATAGAATTGAAAGTGACCGTCAAAATTTCCTTGCTATTTTTGTAGTCTGTCCACAAGTTCATCCCTATCCTGCTTTGACTTTTTACGTTTGGCAGAATCTTGGGAAATGAGTTTTGAGAGTACACCAGCCATGTGTTTTTATAACAATTATCCTTTTGTTCTCTCACTCAGCCTTGGGGAGCAGTATTACAGAGATGCTATGGAACAGTGCCACAATTACAATGCTCGCTTATGTGCAGAGCGCAGTGTTCGCATGCCCTTCCTGGACTCACAGACTGGAGTTGCTCAGAGCAACTGTTACATTTGGATGGAGAAACGGCATCGAGGTCCAGGTACACCAAACACATGTTTCAGTTAATACAAAACAAGATACACCTCCTTTTTGGAGGGGTGTGTATTCAAACGAGTGCTAAAGTGAATAAACCGCACTCTGTACCCTTGTGTGGAATACCCTATCATCCACACCCAAAATACAAAATCTATAGAGTGGTATAAGTAAAACCTACATCTTAAGTAGAGCACTAAAATAGCTATGCAGATGGGGTTAAAATTACCCAATGTTACCTTGTTAAAAACTTTGACTTGTGGTACATATAAAAGATAAAATTAGATACAATATGGTGCAGATGGTATAAAGAAATGGATAGAATAAATGGTAGAGAAGTAAAGGCATGTGAAGGAGCCTTTAAATATATACTGGCTCCGTAACTGGGCTTTTATTTGTATAGTAATGGACATCCTTTCTGTTTTGTATGTATGCTGACACTCCCCTTCAATTTCCCATTGCCAGAAAGGGGTGCTACACCTGGCAATGGGAAATTAAAGGAGAGTTTATGGTTTTTAGTTCGCAATAGATTAAAAATGGAAAATAAAGAGACATAGTAAGAAAAGAGGCGATTGGAAAATGTTGACTATGGCATGACTGTGATGCTTTAAGATTACATTCCAAACACCTAAGGCATGAATGTGTCCTGTTTTTTTTGTTTTTTTTTTCCCTGCTCCATTCTACAAAAAGTGAAGATTTCAATAGATACGTGTTGCACCTTCATAGCTGTCAAGCAGACAACTGCGGTCCTGTTACTTCCTTGTAGTTTAGCTCAGTAGAGCTGAATTGGAGGGAAACAAGAGCCCAGAGCACCTGCCTTGCAAAGATTTCTCAATGTGCTACATTGATAAGTCTGTGATTAGAAAGGTACAGAAAGTCTGCACTGTGGAAGAAGGGAGATGGTTTTCAATGGCTACAGATAAGAAGAGATCTGCAACTTTTGCAAGCTATTTTAGCTATACCGCCAGTGAAAACAAAATGCATAATTGACCCAGGACATACTTGAAAACAAGAAAAATCTCAATGTATCCTTCCTGGTAAAATATTTTATAATTAATTAAATGCATGCACATTTCTTTATGGGTATCTCTACTGAACAGTCCCTTTAAAACCAGCACAGTACGTTTTGACATAATTAAAAAATCATGTTTCAGTAGTGATTTTACTATGTTTACATCACAAGTGATTATTTTGTAATTCACATTATATTTATAATACCTTAGACGACTGACACCACGACTTGTGGTGTGTTTTTTTTTTTTTTTTTTTTAAAATATATTTAAAAGACAAAATAATACATACAGTATGAATATATAGTAGGGTACAGATCAGCAACTATGGGGAAAACATGAACAGAAGATGGGAAAAAGGAGAGGAGGACTAGGGTACCATTGAGATATAGCGAGGAAGGTGACCTTAATCAAAAGGCACCACATGAAAGCCACACATAATAATGAAGCAAATCAATTGGAATTAAAAGTTAACCAAGGATTCCATATCTTTTGAAATGTACCAGTTAAGGTAGAATTCTTAACTATCACAGTTAATGTGTCAATTGGATAATTATCCTTTATTTTATATAGTGTCCCTGTGTCAAAATTCCTGCTAGCAACCAATGGCCCATAAGTGATTTCTCAAGTCTTTAAAGATGTAAATGATTCAAGTGTCTCCCCTGCAATTAGTTGGTAGGCCTAATGTAACTACCTGCATGTAGATAGCAACCCTATTTATTATGTTCTCTGTATTTAAGGTACTGCACCAGGGCAACTTTACACCTACCCTTCTCGACGCTGGCGTAAAAAGAGGAGAGCGCACCCTCCTGAGGATCCCAGGCTCTCGTTTCCTTCTCTCAAACCCGGTAATGTGACTAATAACGGTTTGTGGTGCTTACAAATATATGCTTTTTAGAATAAGCTAATTACAGACCACTAGCCTGGAGTTAGATGACTTGTAATAAAGAATATGATATTTTGATTCCTTTTTAGCTTTAACTTTTTTACAATTATTTTACTTTGTATCCATGTGCGGTCCCTAGGGGCTTTCAAATTTACTAACAGGAATCCATAACAGGTCAGGACATGACATCTTCCAGCTGAAATACAGACAAATGACAGTTTTATTGACAGTTGTGTCTAAACAAAGGCTATTAGACTTGTTAAAGGTTTCATAAAGAATCTGTATTATTGACTTTGCCATTAAGATTTGTATTTATTACATTTTGTAGATCCAGAACAGATCCTGAAAAAGGAAGGTCTAATACCACAGGACGGTAGCAGCTTAGAAGCTTTGCTTCGATCAGACACCATTGAGAAGAGAGTTGTGCCGGACCCTCGTGATGATGACAGCCTTACTGAATTCCCTCCTGTTGCCAGCCGCGCACGGAAGGTACAGGCCTACAGCACAAGACAGCGTTACGTAGCGAGCGGGATTATCACGGTAAAGACAGTGAGGCCACACACAGCCTGGGGGGAGAAGGAGCTGCGGTCCCGTGTCCTTTACAGGGCATATTATAGTTTTGTGTAAAAGTAATGTACTCATACATATGTATATTGGTGCTTTATAGAATATAAACTTTACTAATATTTTTCTCTTCAGTATTCTACACACTACTTTTGTAGAATCGTAAAATCTTCAATCATAGTAATTTCAAGGATTTTAAACTAAATGTGGGGGCTCTAAAGGATGGCCTGATGCACCATTTACCTGTTGGATAAATGGTTTAGAATTTTTTAGAACAATTCTCCTGTTAATTTTTTTTTTTTTGGGGTCTGAAGGAGTACATTTACAACCTGTGGTCACACAGTACTGGCCCAGCCAAGAATAAAAAAACAAAAAACTGTTTTACCTCCCTCTATATTAAATTTAATTGCATATGCCAGAGGTGCACAGATGTGCAGCTCTTTGTTGTGGTTACCAAGACATGGGATGTACTTAGAATAATGTATAAAGATAACCTCTTTAGTAAAGAAAATGCATTTACTCTGTTATTGATCCTAAAACTGTTAGGCCAGGATAGTGGGGCGCATCTTAGTTTTAGGCATTTACACAAATAAAGTTGTGTTACATGTATACCAGTGCCTCAAATGGCAGTCAGTATTGTGTATATGCATGTGCATAGAGGTTTGCGATAGTTTGTGTGTTAAAAAAAATAAAAAAATAATAATTTTTTTTTTCCATACATAATGCTTGTGACCCAGGCAGTCTGGTGTATCTGAGACACACAGAAATTTAAGGGAACATAGCATAGGCCTAAACATCAGTTATTGGATATGTTTTTCCTGGAGTGCACTAATCACTTTAAAAAGTCACATCATCTGGTATTGTGTCAGAGACGTCAACAGTTGCTTCATTATCATTAACAGGGCAGTAGTGGCTGATGTGGCTCAACTGTTGTGGATTAGCTTTACTATTCACTGTCTTTTTTGAACAATATTCCAGGTGTGGCTGGCTAAAGGTCATCTGTCAATACAACAGTGACTGTACATTTATATATTTGCATTTGACAACATATTTAGTTCCCAACGAAGGCGCCAGCTTGTGCCTAAACTTGCGTTGAACTACAGTTTCTTGTATTTTTCTCACACAATTATGGGGGTGATGTGAGTGTTACGATTTGGAGGTGGAATTGAGTGGGGAAGATTAGGGTATTACTTTAGCTTAACTGTTTTGCTATGGACTAGGCATTATATGTAGAGACTGATACCCCCAAGACATTCAACAGTGATTAATCTCAACCGTGCAGCCTTACATTTCTCTATCCTATTATGTATATATCAAGAGACCCTAAACATCTCAATTATTTCCTTATTTATTTTTGTAATAAAGTGTGGCACACATTTACTTCATACACCACTTTTTTATTTTTTATTTTTGTTCTTGATGGTTTTAAAGATCTTTTTTAATCAGGCAATTTTTCTTTTTTTTTCTTTTTTGTTTGCACATGACTTTGTGAAATATGACGTAAACGTCTCATACATTATCCTAAGCTGTATTCTTGGCAAGCATTAGTATCTGTATACGTAGAATTCATTTTCCAGGTATTCAATGCGTTGAAATGCAGATATATGGGTCATGGCTGTAAGAAGAACTGAGATCGAGCCAAACTGTTAACTGGTACACTAGAAAACGGGGGGGGTAACTCCAAATAGGAAACTAATATGAATAGGCAAAGAGTAGTGTATCATTAGGGACTGGGATATGTAATATACCCTAAGAGTACCAGCTAACTTCAGGAAAGAACCATAAAATAGCCTCCAGACTAGGAACAAAAGAAGAGACAATAAAAGAAATAATGCATTTTATTAAATATAATATAAAACAATAATGTACTATAAGGTGCTCGTGTACAAAAAGTGAATGAACAGGTTTTAGATGGATAAAGTAATGATGTAACGTAAAAAAATGCTATTTCAGCATACGAGTTAATCTCGTAATTTCAAATTAGCCTATTCTACAATAATATTAGGCTACCTCTTATAGTGGTATAAGGATGAATAGGAATAGCAATATACTGATGTTCCATTGAAACTGGTTGAAGTAAATATGCTAGGTAACAGAAGAACCTGTTACGGGGTCATGGTAAGTAATGGAACAAAACCTGATATTAATATTGCCTAGCATACGTCTGTGCCAGGGTATATATCTCAGTTAAATACGGCAAGTGGGAAAGATAACATAGCAATAGAAATTTGGGGGGAGGGGAGAATAAGAGGCAGATCCCCCATTAAACTCAGATAATATACCCCAATCACGACCTATAGTTTTAATATAGCCAATTGTAGATGTTATAATAGTGCTATTTTAATGGAATGATGGGTACTCCGATCCTCCTAACTTAGGTGATCACAGTAAGAACTGTTGTGCCTGAGCCAGCTTCTATCACTATAACAACTCTCGAAATCAGGTTCGTTGAAGTGATTAGCCAATAGTTTCTTAAATTGGTTCCATGCTTGGTGGCTATCTGATTGCTCTGCTATGAAGCAATTCTCTGCTACAGTGTCTTCCTATTGACACACTAACATTTTTACCTCTGTCCATTTAGCGCATTCTGGAACCTGATGACTTCTTGGATGACCTGGACGATGAAGATTATGAAGAAGATACGCCAAAAAGACGTGGAAAAGGCAAAGCAAAGGTGAGGTGTGAAGTGTGGTTGATTTAATAATGTACTACGGAACTCAGAGGTAAGTAATAGGGCATTTCACTTTTAAACTAGGCTATATTTCTTCTATGACATTCACAGAAAATGAAAACCCTATAAATGTTCATCTAGTTCTACCAGTATTTTCTTGTGCTTGTGGGAATACACGGTCATGAATTAATTGTCTAATTAAACAAGTTCAAATGTATGCAGTCCTGAGGGTTAGGAAAAAAATCTTACCTTGAAAATTCTATGCACTAAAACCACTTGTCACTCAATAATGTTGACCGAAGTCATTTAGCAGTTTTTTTGGCTAAAAGAGTCATTTTTGAAGCATTACTCTATATTTTGCTGCCAGTGATAGACAGCCCATACATTCTCATCCTATCACTGATGCTTGAGTAGCTTCTTCTCATTTTACAGAAAGCAGAGGAGATGAAACCAGACAGGCACCTGGGGGACTCCACTACAGTGTTAAAATGTTAAAAAATGGTTTAACACTTGTAGGTAAGAAGACCCCAGGGACTCTAGAAACCATAACAACCTCATTGACACAGTGTTTTTGGTGGCTGGGGTGTTCCTCTTTATGTATCTAGCTTCACATCCGCTACCAGCTCTTCAGATGTGAATATACAAAATCTTTCCACCGGTTTAAAAGCCGCTTCTTATAATGTATGAATTGATAACACTTTTTGGTGCATTGTTCTAAAAATATCCTGTTCTAGAGGCATCCATGACATTATTATAATAATGCACTAAGTCATTAAGTCTCAAGGAGCTTTCTTTTTAGCAGTAAAAAAAACATACTGAAGCACTACTGATGTGATTTTTGCAGTCCAAGTGAAAGGAGAAAATCAGTGTGCTGTCTTTAAAGCTGGGTAGTCACATACTTTCTCTCACGCCAGTAAATACATTTGGAGAGTTTCCTGCGGTCAGCAATGCAGCAGAGGTGAAAAACAAAACACACCTCCTTGGTCCTTCCATCTTCAGGGTGAAGTGTTTGCCCCATGCTTACATACCTGAATAGAGATTCCATTCGAGTGCATGCATGTTTGAGCATATTGTTCCATTTGTGGCTTACATTCATTTGCATGAAGGTAAACCTCAAATGCTCCCCAATCACTCACCGCTCATCAACTGGGAGTGTATCTACAGCAAAACCTTTACACCGGTGAGTGACGTTTTTAATTTTTTGAGCAGTGAGAAGTGCAGATTTGTACTTGGAATCGGTGTATGACCTCTAGCTTTTCTTCATCATGCAAGAACAGTGAGTGCTATTTGCCAGCCAGATCCCTCTGTCTACTTTATTCGGTAACATGCGGGTTCTGGTCCAAAAAAAAAAAAACAACAGTATCCATCTCAAAAAGCTCATTTCCACTTTAGCCCCCTCTTGGCTGCATTTTAAATCTGATTTGTTTACGAGAATGTTTACTCTCATTTGACTTACTCTGCATCACAATGTAAATTAAGAAAGCACTTTGGAGCCTCTGGCACATTTTTCTTCTGTTCTAAATAATTCTTTTGATTTCAGGGAAAAGGTATAGGCAGTGCCAGGAAAAAGTTGGATGCAGCTGCTTTGGATGACAGAGATAAACCATACGCTTGTGACAGTAAGACTTATATTCCTCACTTCAATACTATTTATTCATTATTGCTCATACATTTCAGACTTCCCAGAAATATATATTACTCTTTAAAGATGCCTTTTGAAACCTTTTCCTATTGTAATTACACATTTTATCAACAAGGACTAGAGAGCTCTAAAGGAGTCTTCTAGAGCAGTGACTGCTAACTTTTGGCACTCATTTATTTTGTAGGTTATGATTCTCATCCAGTCCTCTAGCATTATAGCGAGAGCTAAATGTTAGCATGTCCATCTATGTCACCTGTAGATAATTTTTGTAATTCTCTGCCAGCCTAATGACTTAGAGTTGTAGTCATCAACTCTTCGTTAGCCGTCACTGTTCAAGACCTATGGTTTAGTAGAACATGCATGATTACTTATATTTTAGCCAGTGTCTAGGTAGATACATAGGTATATCTCGTACTTTGTGCTGAAACTACATTACATACGTAGAATTACGTGTGCGTGCCTGTGGTTGTATGCGCTTATACAAGTAAACCAGAATACCACCTCAATCACAAGAAAATATATGGTGACTTCTATATTCTCAGTATGATTTTCTGAAAACAGGTGTACATGCTTGCAATTTTGATTACGTGAGTTGGCGTATGGTAAAGTTAGCATCTACTCTCTTAGAGATTCACTTACATTTCCATCCAACAAGCTATTACTCTCCCTCTTTTTAAAATGCCTTTGAAGTAGGATATCCACGTGGTATTAAGAAAAGTGTTGTCTTGCAGTGTAACACTTTGGCTACTGAACTATTATTCTTTTAATCCCCCCAATATGAGCATTTGAGAGTAGTGGTGGTTTTCTCTTTTCTCCTGCGGCATTTCCTGTTCAGTGTAAACTTCTTGAGAAGGCAGTTGCTTGTTCCTTTCTTGTGTAACTTCACATATGTGCGGCTTGTAGACAGCCAATTATTATAATTAAGTGGGAATTTGGTGCGTGCTCAATTTTGGCAACATACTACTAATAGTGCTAATAGAAAAGGAAAAAAAATGCATGCTAGTTTCTTTCCATTCTAAGTTGCCATGCCTTTAATGTAGCACTTGACTTATGCCCATTATTTAGCTCTGCACGGTAACTTAGAGATTGCACAGTGACATTATCAGTCACTCACATTGAAACAGTCCCCTCTATGAGACCTATAACTTAATAGCCATGATATGCATTTGAGATGCCTTGTTTTGAAGAAGGGGAAAAAAAAAGTCCGGAAATAGCTTCAATCTCGGATCTGTATAATCAACAAATATAGTGAAACCATTGCATTCAAAATGCTTTTGTGTGCTTGGCTTTGTGTGTTTATTTTTTATTTGATTTTGGTGTGATATGTATTTTTTTTAGAGGACGGAGGATGGTTGCTTCCAGCAGACTGATCCACTGTTCAACTACTACTGACATGGAAATAATAAGGGAAAATGTAACCTTCTCTGGAGCAGGGAATTTCCCATAATTTGAAAAAAATGCTTAAATGGTCAGGCAACATATATCACTACACATGCACTGGTGCTAAATTAGAATGTGGCAGGGGTATTGCAACATTCCAGAAACACCTGGGACGTAAGCACAATGCAAATTCAATGGCATATGTCCTGTCTCCCCTATGGACACTGCACTGCAGGGATCTCAAAGTATAGCTAGAAATAGGCACATGCTGTACATTCATTGCCTTTATGATACACTACATAACTAATAGAGTGCACCAAAGTTCAGTTCCTCAATAATTGCCTCTTCCACCATTGGGTCCAAAGCCCTGTCTGGCAATGGCATGTGGTGTAGCACCCATGTTTTTAACATAATTGATATATCTAGTGCAGAAGGGGACCCTCTGTTTTTAACTATATCTAAAGAAAGGGCTGTAATTTTCAAACCATATGAAAACCGTTACCTGGGCGACAGCACCTTGGGATTACTGGCATCATAACCCAGGACTACAGTGCACTGTAGAACATATGGTGCTAAGACTTCCCTTTTAAGTGCTTATTGTCGTATTTCCTTTTGAGCAGTCTTATTATACCATTTTTGTTGTTCTGCGCAAAACAAATATAAAGCTGCTTTATACATTAATATCTTACTTTTTCATTAGAAACTCATCACAAATGCTGTTTACATGTTTTTTCTCTCCCTAAAGCCAGTATTCACATGAAACACTGTAAATAACCATAGAAATGTGTGGTTATTTTTTTAAGAATATTCTGTTAAGCTCTGGTGAACGCAGCAGTCAGTTGAGTTCAAATAACTTGAGTTCTTTTCCTTTCTAAGTGGCTCTCAGGAGAATATTCTAGGAACCTTGCTCTAAACGGTTATTTACTATGCCAATACCTCTTTATAAATTTCAAATTTTATTTGTTTCCACTTTTCAGTTTTCCCAGCTTTGCTGGATATAATACACTGAATTGTGATTGACAGTTACTGATTGCACTGTCTCTTTATTCTTTTGGAAGGTAAAATCCTGCTTGATATACACACATACGAAAGAGAGGCAGATTTATTAAAAAAAATAATAAAAAAAAAAATTTAAAATCATGCATGTGTTAGGAGAGCCGCAGGAGAAGAGAAAGATCAACCATCTGGAATTGCAAAAAGGTCCAGTTGGACTTTATTAGAGCTT